TCATTCGAAATGGCATTAAGGCCCAATTGCAACAATGATTTAAATTTTTCTTAAAGATAAGTAGAGCTTAGAATGGGCTGTATTTATATTTACTTTAATATTCACCTTAAATGAGGGAATTTGACTGATACAATTTTTGAATTTGAATTGTTTTTAATGATATTAACAATTTTAGTTCAATTTTTAATAAAATTTATTTAATATTAATAGAAATCCAAGGGATTTGAAACCTCTTTTAGCGATTTATAACATTCTCAAATGAATTACAGGTGCCCTTATTTTGAATGAAAATCACACAGCTTTTTTCATAGTCGCTGCAGTTGCTATAGCTATAAAAAACTAATTTTTTAAGGTGTGAAAATTGCGACACACGCTAAATGGACTTGATTTTTCGTATGTCTCGAAGTCTGTGGACCTTTTTGTATGCCTCGATAACATATTGGTGCAGATTATATTTTCACCCAAATAAATAATAACCCAAACTATACATTGATGCGGATTGTCTATGAACTCTTTCTGAAGGTCACAGAAACCTGAACGCGTAATTCGGTGTTCTTTCGCATCTGTTATAGGTAATTTGTGACACAGCCATATGGCACTTTAGATTTAAATTTAAAATAGAATTTGTTTTTGAGTGACTATGTCAAAAGTTGACATATGATATGTCATTTGATTCAGAGTGTCATTTTCTATTAAATAAAGTAAAAATATACCGAGGGTACCATTTAAAAATCGAAAGTTGTAGTCATTTCCGGTGAAACCGGAAGTGACCGAAAACAATTGAATACGTCAATCAATTCCAATTTATGTCATATACTAACATACCAAATCTCGTTATTTTATCTGAAAAAAATAAAAAAGTTAGTGGGGTGAGCCACTTTTGAGACGCACCCGGTATTATATATTTATATATTTTTTTATATTTCAATTGTGATTTTCTTGGGTATAGGTTTCTGTATTAAAAATTAAATGATTTCTGGGTGTCTTTAAATCATTTATTTGCCGACAAATGTTGACTAACCAATCTGAATTGTATGACGAATATTGTATATATATTGAAATAATATAAGAATCCAACGGCCGAAACAACATCTAGATGCCTTTAGAAAGATTTGCATAAAAAATCGAAACGTCGCGTCGGCAAATAAATGATTTAAAAACACCCAGAAATCATTTAATTTTATAATAAAGAAACCTATACCCAAGAAAATCACAATTGAAATATTGAATAAAGGTTTAAGAAAAAGAAAGATATCTACAGGGTGGCGCACCTCATTCGCCTCGGTTGATTATACGAAAACGGAAAGATGTAGAAACAAAATATCTTATGGGTATATTTGGGGAGGCAATGCATGGGCGCCGGAAGAATGAAATTTAGGGGGGGGCAAGGTAAAAATGAATAAAAAATTGACATTTTTGGTAATTATTGGGAAAACTGGAAATCGTCCGATTTTCACCAAAATTGGTATACACCCTATTTTGAAGTCGTAGATTACGAATCTGAACGTTACGAATCTTTTTTCTTGGCGGTCTCTTACCGTTTTTGAGAAAAACGGAAAATAATTTCAATATCGAATTTTTCTTAATTTCTCATATGTTTAAGGTTTTCTAGCACATATTTTGTTAGGTATTCAATAATCAATAATGTTTTTGCTCTTTTCTGTTACTTTTTTAACCAATTCTATGCATAATAGAGGAAAATTTGTTAAAATAAATTTGTAAACAATCTGAAAATGTTAGATTATGGCTTTGTTCGGGTTCTTGTTATTACCGATTCTGAACCGTCCAAGAACTCTGCAGCGCATGCGCAAATGAAGTAATGTCTTCATATTTCCTTCTGCGCATACACATCACAGTTCTAGGACGGTTCAGAATCGGTAATAAGAGAAACCCGAAGTAAGTTTATGTCTTTCTGGCATTTAAAGCAACGTTGCCAATGTTAAACCTAAATTTAGCGTGTTTTTTTCGCTCATTCTGGAATTACGAAAGGCGGTCGCCAGAAGAACGGCTCCTTCCCATAACTGCTATTTTACCAACGAGATCTGACTATTTATACCCACGAAGTTGCACGAAAAAGTTTTGATTGCATTGGTTACAACTTCCATGCAGAGGGTGTTAATCTTTTGTTGTTATATTATTAGATTAACTAAGAAAAGATTAACCTCCTCCGCAAAGAAGTTAAAACCAATGCAATCAAAACTTTTCCGCGTAATTTTGTGGATATTGGTGTATATTTAATTATTGTTGATCTCATAATAGGTAATTTATTTAAATTCCGTAATCACCCGAAAAAATAGAAGATATGGCAACGTTGTAAATTTTCAAATTTCTAGATTAGGTCTAGAATAAATTTGTCTCTCTTATTACATAGGAGAGAGAAAGAAGGATATATCAAATGTCAAACTTCCATCTGGTCTCAATTTTCTTTGCTATTTTGTAAGAAAAGTGTTTTTCAGTAAAATGTTGGACACTTTTCTATCCCCAATCAAGTGTGGCTTTTAGATAAACTATAATATAATGAAAATATAGTGAAATTATTACTTTATAGGGCCGAAATTAAGAAAAATTCAATGTTGAAATAATTTTTCGTTTTTCTGAAAAACGGTAAGAGACCGCCAAGAAAAAAATAGATTCGTAATCTACGACCTCAAAATAGTGTGTATACCAGTTTTGGTGAAAATCGGACGATTTCCAGTTTTCACAATAATTACCACATTTTTTATTATTTTACAGGTAACACCTAACAATTTCATAATAATGATTATTTTTTTTACAGATGAATGTAAGAAGATAGCTTTTATTTTTATTGTTTCAGTGATCCAGGGGGGGGGGGGGCAAATACCCCTTCTTTCCCCCCTGTCCGGCGCCCATGAGGCAATGTGTACAATTTAAAATTGTTTTGAAATATACAGAGTGTTTCAGAACTAAGATCCATACCTAAGTTATATTTTTTCTTATGGAACACCCGGTATTTTATTCCATTTTTGGATTCTTGGGCCCAAAAGAATGCATTTATTATAAGGGTTAAATATGTTTAAAATCTTTGGTTTTTGAGATATTTAAAGATATTTAAATTTGCACGCTACAATAGAATAGATTATTAACACCCTGTACATTAATTTTCAGAATTAATTCTTATACTGAGTTTAAAGGTAGAGAAATAAACTTTACTGAAAAATGGTATTGTTTCCTTAAATTTATACAGGGCTATCAAAAGTTGCTAATCTATTTTAAGGATATATTTTATATAAAAACTTGCAAATTCAAATGCAACACCCTATATTTTTTTAAATAAATCGAGGCGGATTCAAATGCTCTTTCAAACTATATTAGGGTTTCCTATACCTATCTAGCTCAAATTTTGAATAAAATGCGATTTTTAAATAAAATTGCAATCAAGATGGCTGGTGTCGCCATGGCAATTTTCTAGTGACGGTTAGTAACTATTTTCAAAGTCGACATTAGTTTATCGACATTATTATTTATAATTTATAACAGTTTACTTAAATTTACCTACAATAGTTTAATTAGTAAGTATTCATTATTTTATCAAGAAAAACAAAGCAGTATCTGCTGGCAGAACGAATAGATACTTGTGATTTTATTTTGTAAAGAAAATTGCTTCTTGACCACAAGGGCTTACGCTCAAACATATCCAAATAGGAATCTTCCTGATAAGCGTTTCTTCGAAAATCTACTTGTCTTATTTCGCAGAGCTGGTAGTGTGGTTTATAAGGCAGAAACCTACCGTTGAAAGTGAAGAAAATGAATTTGCCGTAATTGGCTCTTTTATAGAAAATCCATATATCTACAAGTCATCGTAAAATAAATCAAAGATCTACTTCTTCGTTTTTCTTGATAGAATACTAAATACATATTTAATAAATATTATTTATTAAACTATTGTAAGTAAATTAAATAAAAGTAAACTAGTACAAATTTAAATAAGCCCATAAATTAATTTCGATTTTGAAAATAGCTAGTAACTGTAACTAGAAACTTGGCATGAGGACACTAGCCCTCTTGGTTGCCATTTTATTGAAAAAATGCTCTTTATTCAAAAGCTGAGCTAGATAGGTATAGGAAACCCTAATATAGTTTGAAAGAGCATTTGAATGTGCTTCGATTTATTTAAAAAAATACAGGGTGTTGTATTTGAAATATCGAAGTTTTTATGTAAAATAAATTCTTAAAATAGATCATCAATTTTTGATACCCCTGTATAAATTTAAGGAAGCAATAACATTTTTTCTGTAAAGTTTATTTCTCTACCTTTAAACTCAGCACAAGAATTAATTCTGAAAAGTAATGTATAGGGTGTTAATAATCTATTCTACTGTAGCATGCAAATTTGTATATCTTTAAATATCTCAAAAACCAAAGATTTTGAACATATTTAACCCTTATAATAAATGTCTTTTTTTGGGTCCAAGAATCCAAAAATGAAATAAAATACCGGGTGTTCCATAAGAAAAAATATAACTTTGGTATGGATCTGAGTTCTGAAACATCCTGTATATTTCAAAATAATTTGCTGTGCGCATTGCCTCCCCACATATACCCATAAAATATTTTGTTTCTACATCTTTCCGTTTTCGTATAATCAACCGAGGCGAATGAGGTGCGCCACCCTGTATATTTTTTATTCATTATTCTCTTTCAACGATAAAATACCAGACTGATATTGACACAAAATACAGATTTTGAAATACGAGTACTTAAAATGTTCATTTTTTAATTCTCCATTTAACAAAGGAATAATATACAGAGTGTTCCGTTTAAAAAAAATCATCCCGATCCACTCACACTTTTATTTTGTCCCATTTTAAAAGAACATAAATGTTGCATTTATTAATCTTCCGGTATATTTGTACTAATTATGGTAGGAACTTTGTTACTATTGCATTAAATGACCTATTAATAAATTTGACACAAAAGACTATATGGCAAAATGACCACCGGAATGATATTGTAGGATGTAATCTAGATATTATAGTTACCTCATTGCCCATAAAATGCCCATATGCCGAATTAACACTGCTTTAAATAACCAGCCAAAGAAATGACCTAAAGCGAAAACATCTATATGGGACCATATTCTCTCAGGTGTTATATCAGAGCAATTTACACCATACTCTTTATCCATATCAATATGGAAATCCTTAAAAACATAATAAGATTAATTTTTAGTATATCTAGGACAATTTGTACTTAATGGCGCAAAGCGTAATAAAACGTTTGATATAAATAATTGAGAAACATACTATTCATTTCCACACCGCCTTGGGGTGGTCTGGAAATGGGTAGAAGAATAAGCGTAAAATTTACTATTACTGTTCTACCCTGTCCTGCTTTACTTCGCTCTTTTTGATGCACGTCGCGAGTTCATGGACCGATGGAATCGTCACAGACCGACCGTCTTGTACATCATCCTCAAAGGGATTATCAGTTTTATTGCAATTCTCTTCGTTCTCGATTTCAGCAAACGCTTTCTTGAAAATAATCTCCGTTTGTTCCCCTTTATCGGCATGTGATAAAGCTGGCTAGTTATCACAGACATAACTGAGCAATTTAACCCAGCTTTCCTGCATCCACAGGATCTCTGACATGTTTTTTGTATTTGCAAGAAATACGTTTTAACAAGCTTTCCGGAACTAGGGGATCGAGTTTGTAGTAGGACAAAAATTGTAGTGGTACCTGTGATAACTCGCCAACTCCATCACAAGATAGCGATAAAGACGCAGAACTAGTTTCGAGAACGAAGAAAATGAGAATGATGTAGACGAAATTTCAGTCTGGGACGATTCCATAGGTACTAAAGACGATGAACTAGCAACGCCGTGTCCATCAAGAACAGCGAAGCAAAGCAGGACAGGGCAGAATAGTCATTTAAAAAAGTAATAGCGCAAGAAATTTCAGTTTGTGATGATTTGAAAGCTATTAAAGACAATGAACTCGCGACACCTTGTCCACCAAGAACAGCGAAGTGAAGAAAAATACGCTAAATTTTGGAATAGTAAGAAATACCTCGATACAAAAGTGCCCCTTACTCTACTTCAAGGTGGTGTGGGATATTTTTTTTGCCGAAACATGTGATAAAGTAACACTTGTACAGGGTGGGTCAAATTCGATGCTTTTAAATGGAAACACCCTTTTCTATAGGAGATAGACGAAAACTAATATCGGTGTCTGAAGCTCAATTTTCATCAAAAATATGATGGTGAAAACCGCATATCAATATCTGTTACCGTTTCGGAGTTACGGGGTGTTTTTCAAAAATGTGCATTTTTAACAAATCGCTGTAACTTTTTTGTTATGGAAAATTTTGTATTTCTATGAAAACATTTCCAAAGCACCTTTTTACGTAGAATTTAATGGTTTAAGTATATTTTTTTTTAAATTAATAATTTAAGAATTATCAATAGAAAATTTGATTTTTTATATGGGATACCCTGTATATTATTAATTTATTGAAAAGGATTTAAAATTGCCTTTCCAAAAATATAACACACTTGATATTTTGCTCGATTCCCCTTCGTGATATAGAGTATATAAAAATTCGCCCGCTTTAAATAAGTAGGCTTTGAACTGCACCGGCTGTAATGCAAAAAACTTATAGCTGTGAGCATCAATTAAAACGAAAATAATATTTGCTTTGAGAGATGCAGAATTTTAGAACAATTTAAAATATATTTAACCAACATCAACACATTTAAACTATATCTAATAACAATAAAAATAACTAGCAAACCAAGAAATGAGATTTTGCTACAGGTGTTCGACATATAGACCGTCTTCTGTTATTGACAAACGGTGCAGTTTTTGAACATTTCTCGCGGAATTCATTAACTCCCTGAGGGTGAAAGATACCCTCTCATAACTGCTAAGTATTTCTAATTCTTGTCTAGATTATACGGAAGAATAATGAACCTTTATTGTTCCGCAAATATATCCATAGGATTAGATCCATGGGCACTAAGTCAGGCGGCCTCGACGACCAACGGCTGGGATCGTGGTTAGCTATTCAATTATTCTTGAAATTGGCTGCAAAAATTTGCTGATAGCTTCAGCGTTCAGAGGCGGTGCGTCGTCTTGCTGGAAAAATATGTTTTCGGGTTCCATTAAGGTCATATCATCAATAAGGGGTCCAAAGCCTACTAGTTAAAAGTGGCGAACTTTTAAAAATTCTGTATTTCGAAGGGGATTATAACAAAATATCAAGTGTGCTATATTTTTGAAAAGATAATTTTAATTTTTTTTCAGTTAATTAAAAATATAGAGGGTGTCCCAAACAAAAAATCAATTTTTCTGTTGATAACTCTTAAATTATTAATTTTAAAAAAATTATACTTAAACCATTAAATTCTACGTAAAAAAGTGCTTTTGAAATGTTTTCATAGAAATACAAAATTTTCCATAGCAAAAAAGTTACAACGATTTGTTAAAAATGCACATTTTTGAAAAACACCCCGTAACTCCGAAACGGTAACAAATATTGATGTGCGGTTTTCACCATCATGTTTTTGATGAAAATTGAGCTCCAGACACCGATATTAGTTTTCGTCTATCTCCTATAGAAAAGGGTGTTTCCATTTAAAAGCGTCGAATTTGACCCACCCTGTACACCAAAATTGTCGATTTTTTAAAAAAAAATTATTACATACTGTGTAAGTTATAGGAAATTTTCTCTAGTTTAATTTTCTATAAATGCTTTATCGTAAAATAATTCTAAAAGAAGATATTGTAAAAAAAACTAATTTTTCCAATATAGCGGAGCAAGCGGCAAAGATACGAGGTGGCAAAGTTAAAATTCAAAAAGAGCACATCAACTTATATAAAATAATTTTTCCTGGTAACCCTTATTTTAGAACCAAATGATGATAACTGTGTGGAGAAGCACCAAGGTCAGAACCTAAATATCTTTTCTGTTAATAATATAACTTCTATCCCAATTAATTTATTAGTTGATAATACTGCATTGACGAACTTCAAAAATGTCTGTGAACATAACTTTCGTTGTAGAATTTCCTAAACTAGGGTTTATAAATTACGGAAAATTATTCAAATGATTGCAATAATTTCCTATTAAGGTTTACCTTATGGCGGTTTTATAACGGCTTAATGTTACATTACAACGGCATATAATTACCTTTTAGTAAATAACTTATTTTATTTAGAGCAAGTTAAGTCAGGATTTTCAAGTTAACTATGTTAAGAAGCGCAACAATAGTTTAAAATCGACATAAACTAAAATTAAATATAATATAAAAATATTTAAATTACATGCACATAAATAAATGTATATATTCACCTTAAGATTTGGATCTAGCCAATATAAAATGTTCTTTACTGTATCCAAATTTTGAAACAGAACGAAAAGACATCCTAACAGATACAATACACTCATACCAAATACTATACGCCATACTGCAGGATGAGGTCTTGTAAATGGTCCATTGGGGAAGGCCAAAACTGATATAATAAAAAAGAAAAAACAGCAGCACAAAACTCCTGACCAGATATTTTTTTCAACATCATGTGTATCCCTAAAAATAAAAAAAAACATACAGTATCTGTAATATATACATATTATTACATCATGTTTGTACGTACATAGAATTAAAAAAATGTTGATTTTATCCTAGTTCTGCGATATATAAAATATAGTATTATTAAAATATTGTTGCGGACCCGTGCCGTGTGAACTCAGCCTTAGGCCTGGCCACTCGCCTATGACTCATACGCCCAGCAATGCCGACGTTCTAAGAACGAATAAGAATTTACTAGACAAATCTGGATTGTCTGTTTCTCTCCTATATAAGCAGACGCCGGGGCCTAAGAGAGATAGAGATAAATAACCGATCGACGCGTACAGTTACAATCGCCGCGCTAATTCAAAATAAATTTCTGTTAGATAAATAATTAGATAAATTGTAAATAAGTTATAAATAGTTCTTTAAGTCTTTTAATCGTTATTGTTTTTGTTAATTAGTGTTAAATAAATTGTGTTTAAATAAATTGTGACTTTCTATCCACACGGAACCGACGAAAAACGTAACAATATATTGTTAAATTCTTTTGAATTCGCGGTTAATGTCAAGCAGTGACTGCTGCGGCGACGCTATTCCTCCACTGTCGTTCGCGTCCCGCCTTTTAGGCGCACATGCGTGAGCAACCAAATAATTAAAAAGAGCGCCAAATTCATATATTTAAAATAGAATCTAACACGGCCAAACTGACATCATTCCGCTCTCGGAATGTACAAGTTCCAAAACATAGAAAAAATAAGAGGCCTATGATATAGGTATTTATAACAACAAAACTTTAATTTTGTATTTTTAACATATGCGTTAAGATTATGTTATACATAATGTATATCAAGATGTAATTGAACATTCAAAGCTAAACTTCGTTACGTTTCAAAGGTTTTGGGTTGAAATTCAGCACACTCGACCATCTCCATGCCAGTTGCTGAAATAAAGACAGGAAGGACGTTAGTCAGACAACAGTCAGACTACTCTGACGTCAATATCAGTTTACTTCTATTGATAACAATTCATTGAATGGCACAGTGGGAATATGTACTCAGTAGGCACGTATTCACGATGAGCCATTTTAAAATCACAGAGTTTCTCTACTGACACGATGGAAATATTGCACGAGGCACATATTTACGATGGGTCAGTTTAAAATTACAGAGTTTTTCGACTGACACGATGGAAATATTGCACGAGGCACATATTTACGATGGGTCAGTTTAAAATAACAGAGTTGCTCGACTGACACGATGGAAATATTGCAAAATATTGGACATATTTACGATGGGTCAGTTTAAAATTACAGAGTTGCTCGACTGACACGATGGAAATATTGCAAAATATTGCACATATTTACGATGGGTCAGTTTAAAATTACAGAGTTTCTCGACTGACACGATGGAAATATTGCACGAGGCACATATTTAGGATGGGTCAGTTTAAAATTACAGAGTTTCTCGACTGACACGATGGAAATATTGCAAAATATTGCACATATTTACGATGGGTCAGCTAATGAATTACTGGATAACACGATGGAAATAGTATGACATGTACATATGTATTTGCCATGGGTTATTTGCCAGTAATGAACTTAACAAAAATAATTTACATTTAGATTTAGACTGACACGATGGAAATATTGCCAGAAGCACATATTTACGATGGGTCAGCTAATTATTTACTTTTCAATCTAACACGGCCCAGAATGTTATAAAATTAAACTAAATAAAAAAAAACAAAAAAAGTCTGATTTCTTTATTTTTTTTATTCAGACCAATTTACAACTTACAACTGTTTAGTTCTACCAGATTCTGAAAGTCTTCAGGAGTCTAATCAGATGGCCAGTGACGCGACTAGTCCTTAGATCACTTAAGGTTTGTTTGCGTGCCCAACTTCCGGATTGAATATCGCTCATTAGCCAATAGTTGTTTAATGACATAATGTGCCACAAAAGTTTGTTCGGCCAAACTGACAATTTCTTCGACTTATTCTTAGCAAATTTGTTATTGTTAGCAATGTACCGCTCGATTGAAAATCATGGCGATGTCAAGCGTTATTTTACAAAGAAACTGGCTTTCAACAAAATCAACAGGTTGCAAAGCGTTATTTTACGGAGAGTTCGCTGGATCATCATCAAATCTCTTGCAATAGTTTCTACAACCGCAAAAAAAATCGAAAATACTTTTTAAGTTTTCCTAATGGCTACATCCGGAGAGATAATCACAAATACTGATAATTCAATTAATCCTTTCTTTTACATAAACAGCTTGCTTTCTACTACGTTCGTAGTTTTCAATATTTTTACACATTTTTCGGAACGTCAAGTAATACTCGTAGATTTAGTCAGCGTTTCAATATCTCAACCACCGTTATTTATTCTTGTGTTTTTGTTTTAGTACTTATAGTTATTTATCGGTGAAATTAATACCGCTATAACATGTACTTTTTCTAAACTTCCTGTGATGCCGCCTTTTTACAAAAGCCGTCGATTAAGAGTAATAAAAATTCGAAACTCTCATGTCATGCGGTACTTAAAAAGGTACCTACACTGTATGTTTTTAGTAACAATACATTTTAAGCATTGATCATAATACTTCTTAACAAATTGATGCATGAGTTAAAATAAAAATAATGGTTTAGTTCACAAAAGATCTTTTTTCAGTTGTAACGTAACACTGCTTGTCGGAAAACAATCTTAATAAATCAAAACGGCTGCCTTTCGACTTCGACACAAAAGCTTTTATATAAAAAGAAAGCTTTTATATAAAAAGAAGTTTGCCACATTTTTTTTTCTAAAAATAATATTATTTTAACAAAAATGATCGTTAGCTTATTTGTCCTAAATTTATTTTCATTTATCTTAAGTTTCTGTTTCGGTGTCATATTTCTGTATTTTTTAACCAGTTACCACTAGGCCATGTTGACAAACATTTTCAATTCGATTTCATCTGGAATAGTCGGCACCGTTGAAAAATAACACCATTTAAGTATTCAATACTAAAATTGTTAACTCATCAATACTCATAAGCTTGAAATCGCTACACAAAAGAAAACAGTAAAAAAATACCTGACTTCGTAAAATACTGACAAAGCACTGAATATTATAAACAGTCGCCAACTTCATTAGACTTGTGTTGAGAAAAATATGGAACAACATTTAACTGATAAGTTTCTTAGAACTGAAATCCGATAGCCCTGGAATCGACTTATTGGCTTCGCTTTATCAAATGCCCAGCCTTTCTTGGTACTTTTCTTCAATCTTTAGTACAAATAAATTTATCATAACTTTTAATTAGTTTTGTAATACAATCGATACCAGAAAAAGTATCGGGGATATGTTTTTTTTATAGTTAAAACATGGTTAAAACCAGGCGAAATGGAAATGTGGTATCTGTCGTTATTTAAAATAAATCCAATTTATGCTATTCGACATCTTAAAAATTTTGTACAATAATTATTTTAGCTGAACACTTAAATCTGTATTTTTTTTCTTATTTTTTTTTGTATGTTTTAATTTAATAATTACATGTTTATCGTATTGTCAGAACCTACTACAATTATTGATGATCGTAAATTTGGTTTGAATATGGCATATAAAACTACAAAACTCTACTAAAACTACGGAGCTATAGATCTAAAATTCAGTTTTAAATCCTGTATCATTATCTTGGTTTCTAAAAGAACTTTCACAATGTAAACTTCGTACTTTGATGTTATTATTAATAACTTATTAATATCACTTTTTAAATTGCCTAAACCTTTTTTCAATATTTTCTGAAACAAGAGAGCAATTTTAATTTCTCAAGTTTTATGCGTGCTTAGTCAATGTTACTATGAGCATGGCAACTTTGAAAGTTGCCATGCTTGTTTACTTGCATCGATCATGAGCTTACCCAGAATTTTTTTTTATGGAAAAACAGCTGAAAATTTTGTTTTAAAATTTTTCCATGTTTTGTGAGTGGGTTTCCATGCAGTAAACCATCGTTTAGCATATTTAAGTAAAAAGGGGCCAATTCTACTTACGGTTTCCCGATCAGACCAACGAAATTCTGTTTCATACCAATTTATTTTTACAAACCACTCGTATAGGCGGAGTTTCCAATGCCCGCCGTTGAAGATGGACACAGATTCGATTGTAGCACGCTTGGCCATTGCTAATTTAATTAGCATGAAGTCACACAAAATTCAGAGGCACACGAAAAGCACCCGGGTTTATTACCCCACACCTGATGTTAAATTCTTTTGAATTCGCAGTTAATGTCAAGCAGTGACTGCCGCGGCGACGCTATTCCTCCACTGTCGTTCGCGTCCCGCCTTTTAGGCGCACATGCGTGAGCAACCAAATAATTAAAAAGAGCACCAAATTCATATATTTAAAATAGAATCTAACAATATATAAAGTTTGATTTCCACTCAACCACCGAGTATTTCACAGTATCAGTATTTGCGGTTGATATTACGGACATCGAAAATTAAGTATTTCAGTTTTTGTGTATTCTGAAAATTTACAGGATTGGGTAGCGCATATGTTAATTCTATTAATATAGTACCCAAAATATAAAGATTTCTTTACAATTCGAACAACATCAAGTTTTCCTTAGAGAAAAAAAAGACTCTATGCCAGTGATGGCGACCCGTGGGTCAGACACTGACCCCCGCAAGATTTTTAACTGACCCGCGATTCCTAGGCTACCATTTGTTTGTTTACGTGGGTTTATTTATATTTTCTACTGTAGGAGTGTGAATAATTTATATTCTATTTGTATTTTTTCAAGCACTGATTATGAAATGATATTTCATAATATATAGGGCAAATTAACAGTATTAGTTTTGTTGGACTTTAGTAAGGCCTTTGACACTCTTAGCCATAAAATCCTTGTTTCAGTTTTGCAGAGTGTTGGACTTTCAGAACAGGCTGTTCACTTACTCAAGGAGTTTTTAAAAGACAGAAGTCAAGCAGTAACTTATGGCGGTGAACAGTCTGCCTTCAAACCAGTCACTAGCGG